TATATCCCTTTGCCACCAGTCGGGCTTTCAACCGTTCAACTGTTCCATCTGAATGTAGCTTGACCTTATACACCCATTTTCTCCCAACAGGCTTCTTTCCCACTGGTAAAGTTGTGACTGTCCAGGTTTCATTTGCTTCCAAAGCATTCAATTCCTTTTGCATGGCTTCCACCCATCTGGGATCTTGCCGTGCTTCATTGTAAGTTGCTGGTTCTTTGATATTATCCAGTTGAGCAACAAAAAACTTATGTGCTGTTGAAAATGGTAGCTGGATATAGGGATATATATGTGGTGTGTGAGGTGAAGAAGAAGGAACATGAAAAGAAGGACTAAGCTGAGGTTGTGTTAACCAAGCCTTTTCTGGAAGGAAATCATTCATCCAAACTGGAGGAGTTTTTATTCTGGTACTTTTCCGAGTGACCAATGGTACTGGAATAGGTTGAGATGTGGGGTTTGAATTAGAAAGTTGGCTGTTGGAGGTAAATTCTGTCTCTGGTAGTGTTGATGTATTTCTATCAGGGGAGAATGACTGATTTACTAAGGGGGGAATTGTGACAAACATTTTGTGTAGTGTGATCAGAAACTTGATCATGATGATCAGCCATCTGGAAAGAGTAGAAATCCCAATCATCCATACTATCCACTAGCGGTGGTGTAGGAAATGTAGGTTGTAAGGAATGAGTATCAGGGACTTTGAGGAAAGGGAATACATCTTCATGAAATATGACATCACTAGACACGAAAACTTTTCTGTTTTCTAAATCATACACTTAACAGCTCTAGCATCAAACTTCCTTTTGTGAGGTAGTGTGTTTGTAGCAAAACAAAGGCTGCCAAACACTTTTAGATGTGTGATATTTGGGGGTTTTGAATAAAGAATCTCATATGGTGTTTTAAACTGAAGGACTGAAGAAGGTAGCCGGTTGATCAAGTATGTGGCTGTTAACAAAGCATCCCCCCAAAACTGTTTGGTAAATCCTGACTGGAATAAAAGGGCTCTTGCAATTTGGAGTAAATGTTTATGTTTCCTTTCCACCACTCCATTCTGTTGAGGGGTGTAAGGTGAGGATTTTTGATGAATGATTCCAAGGTTTAATAGCAAACTTTGACACTGAATATTCAAGAATTCAGTACTATTATCAGTCCTTATGCATTTGACTGTTTTTGAAAACTGAGTCTGAATTTGCTTGAAGTAAAATTCAAGGATAGAAGTGGTCTGAGATTTATGGTGCATGAGGAAAGTCCAGGTTACCCGGCTATAATCATCTACTAAGGTTAAGAAATACTGTGCACCACTAAGGGATTTTTGTGCATGAGGCCCCCAAACATCAACATGTATTAGATCAAAACAGGTTGTGGTTTGTATTGAGCTAATAGGAAACTTTAATCTCTGTTGTTTTGCCATTGGGCAAACATTACATTTATTTGAAACAGATCCATTTTGATCACTGAACTTTCCTAAGTGAATCAATATGGAATCTGGACCATGTCCTAATCTGTGATGCCATAACACATTATCATTATGACATACAAGATTGGAAGTATGAACTGTCTTATCTCTAAGAATCATTACAAAAGGATGGTTCACATGTGTAGATATAAACTGTCTAATGGTTTCTGTGGAAAAGGAATCTTGGTCTAAAACATAAAGCTTGTTCATCATCCTTCCTATTGCAATGATCTTCCTATTCTCCTGGTCCTGCAACAAACAAAAGTTTGTTGAGAACAAATAGTCAATATGTGAGGAACTGGCCAATTTACTGACTGATAAAAGGTTATATTTGAAAGTAGGGATATGCAAACACTCAGACAGTTCAAGGGAATCAGAAAGCTTAATGGTACCTATGTTTTCTATGGGTTTGTGACTGCCATCAGGAAGAATTACTGGTGTATTAATAGAAACAGGCTGGAAATTGGAAAACATTTTCAACAAGGCACACATGTGTCCTGTTGCTCCTGTATCAATGAACCATAAACTTGACAACAAAAACTCTTCATCAGACAGTTTATTTAAAACTTCATAATTGCTCATACCTGCAAAATCATGGTAGTGAGCAAAATTCACTTGTGGCAAGTCTCCCATGGTCTGTTTGCCTTTGATCATTTTACTCATTTCTTGTTGAAGTAAGCTTCTCATCATCTGTTGCAAACTGCTCCCTTCATCTATCTTCTGCTCATTAGTGATATCTGCAAGGTTGCTGAATATCCATGTGACCTGGTTGATTGATCCTTCTTTCCTTCCTTATGATTATCGTTCCACCATTCCGGATAGCCTATAAGCTTGAAGCATCCTTCCTTAATATGGCCAGGCATCTTACAGTCATCACATTTGAGAAGCTTCTTAAGAGCTTTGTCCCTCATGTACTCATTTTCCTTTGCATTCTTGTTAAAATTTCCTTTCTTCGTGAAAAAGGCATTCTGATCATCTAGCTGATGAAAAAGAACATTTCCTCCACCATTCATTCCTGAAGTGTTCTTCTGTGTTGGATGTACAGAATTTGTCATTCCACCATATCCTGAACTGACTGATGATCCTGTGTTCATGTTAACCTGCTGAGTATACATGGCACTCTGATCGGTAATCATTCCATAGGTACTGTTTACAGAGTTCTGTTCTTCAACAGTAAGCACCATTCCATAGGCCTTTTTAACATCTGGAAGTGTCTCCATCATCAATATATTGTTTCTTACCCCTATATATGTATCATTCAAGCCTGTAAGAAATTGGTACAAACGATTCTTTGCGTCTTTGGCCCCTTCAGTTCTGAGTCCACAGGTACAACCTCTGCATTGACATTCTTCTGCTGGATCCAAAAAATTCAACTCATCCCACAGTCTCTTCAGTCTTGAGTAATAAGTAGCAATTGACTGATTTCCTTGCGAGATGGTGCAAATCTCTCTTCTCAATCTGTAAATCTGTGGTCCGTTTCTCTTCGCATGTCTATCTCTCAATTCATCCCACAATTCTTGTGCTGTTTCAGCCAGAGTATAATTTTCTACCAAACCAGGAGATATTGCATTCAACAACCATGATACAACAGTTTCATCAACTCTCAGCCACTGATCATACTCTGGTCCTAGATCTACAGGCTTTGGATAACTTCCATTCACAAAACCTAACTTATTTTTCGTTCCTAAAGCTCTTCGAATTGCACGATTCCAAGTAACGTAATTCGATTCCGTCAATTGAAAATTGATAAGTGACAAAGCTGAATTATCAGAAGGAAGTAAGACTAAAGGATGAGTATAACCTCCGTAGTGCTGAAAACCACCGTCGTTGCGCCGGATCTGACGGTCACCGTGACGATTTCCTTCTTCCTCCGCCATGTCAGAATCAAACAAACACGCCGGAGAAGACTTGTTTCTGTCAATCGGAGCTGTTTCGGAACTGGATTCTGGCTATCGGAGCAGGATTAAACCTGCTCTGATTCCATCTTGAATTTGAGCTAGGGTTGCGTTTTGAAGAGAATGAAGAAAAATGGAAGAAGAACTTGAATCTGAATTTTCAGTGTGTCTCGAAAAACTTAACTTTAGTTTCCTGTACAGAGCTATATATATATATATGAATACATCTAGCTGAACTACGTACGTATTGCTTACTTCTACTCTGCGGAATTTATACAAGTATTTTAGTATTTACATAACAGTCCCTTCTGTATGAAACTAAGCTAAATATATTCACAAATATACCAATTGACTAAGTCAACTCAACTATAATGTGGATGCTTCTACAGTAATCACGGAATATATAAAACAAATCTTCCTTCTTCGGATTGTTTATATATTATTTTATACTTTCAACATCACAAATATCACAAACAAATATACTTTTGATATACTCCCTCCGCCTTTAATATAAGGAATTTTGATTTGTCTCAAGTTTCTCTTAGTACGCATTTTTAGTTGACAAAAAAAATCTTATGAATACATTTTCACATTAATTTTAATTTCTTGATTGTTATGATAAGAATTTTTTTTAATTAAAAATACGTACTAAGTAAAATATATGACGAATAAAAATACTTGTATTAAGGACGGGAAATATAACGTTTGTGCTAAAATTTCGAAAAAAAAATGAGGTGAAAAGTAGTATTGCCTACATATTCATAAATTTTTTTGTCCCATATAATAGAATTGATTTAAGAGGTAAGCTTGAAACAATCGGAATCAGTTGCGACAACATATCTACGTGACTACGTACGACTATATTCATCTAACGTTTCGTTTTTCTTCTGCTCTTCACCAGTTTTTTTTTCTTCAGCACAAAAATAAAAATAGCCTTTATAAAACTTGGTTTAGTCCAAAAATAGCATTAATCCGTCGATTTGTCTAGATACGACGGGGTTGCTCTCACTAGAAATCAAGGAAAAAAGGTCAGAAATTTAACTCGAGTCTTATTTGGTGCCTATTATTCTTTTTGTTTTTCTTTTTTTTTTTTTAACTTTTTCTTTCACCCTTTGGGAGATGACCTATCGTAGGATTATTGTTTGCCTGATACGCAAATGTTTTTGGAGCTGAAAACGTATCACTTGACCAAGTTTTGCTATTTTGATTTTTACCCTACTAATTTAAAGATTTTCATTTTTGCCTTGATTTTGTTGATTATCCACAACATGCATCCTGTGATTTCGTTCTTGGGTTTCTATTGATACAATTTTAAACACTGGTACCAAACAAAATGCAACTATAATTTATGTTTGCATTTTACTGCCATGAATCATGACACGCTTTTTATCTCTTGATTTTTATTCCTGCTTTTAATTTGAAAGATATCGGTAAGGATTAATTTATTTTTGTTATCTTTGCAGGTAATCAAAATCGACAAGAAATTAAAAACCTTACCTACAAAGCAGTAAATTAAGTAGATTTTTCTATTGATTTTTTTCCAAGTTTTTTTTTTTATATTGTATAGAGACAGTAAGTGTTTTATTTTTAAATTAACTAGATAAGTTTTAATAATTTAATACATTTATCCCTCACATGAGTATAATATCTAGTTGTAATAATACTTTGTTCAGCTGTCCCACCCATTGAGATGCCTACAATTTAGCGAGGGATTAGTCACTATTGTCGACAGTGGATACCCTGCAAATATGTAAAAAAATAAAAAATAAAAATAAAAGTTGTTCGTTGAACTACAAGCATATAATAAACATCACTTCTATTTTAAGACAAGACATGTTGAAAGAAGGTTGGGAGCAGAAGAAAGCTGCGAACATAGGAGGTGATAAACTTCCAATACAACAGTAGAATTTGTGAAGTTAATACATACATACCTTTACAGTTTTATCAGGAAAAAAAAAAAAAAGAATTGACTAGTGAAATGGTATTTGATACAATAAAGAACAAGTAGACCTACCAAAATTCACATCCTTTCAAGATCATAAGGAACACCAATAGTTACACCTTCCCTCGGTTCGGGTTGCACTGCTGATAAATCCAGCCTGGGCTCAGCTTCGGTTCGACAAATTGGGCATGTTGAATGTGAAGTAAGCCATTTGTCAATACATTCAACGTGAAATGTATGCCCACAATTTGGTAACTTCCGAGCCTGTTCACCAATTTCAAAAGAGCTTAGACAAACAGAGCACTCTGTTTTTGCCCCTGTTTCCACATATTTGGCGTCCCTGTCTCGTTTCTTGATGATGAATTTGGGTAATGAAGCAACGATGGATGGATCGAGCCCTGCTGGTCTTCGGAATTCATTAGGCTCGTCGTCGCCGGCGGTGGCAGTGATCCTTGGCTGGTGAAGAGCCGGCCTCCTTGGTCGCTGGAGAACACATCTTAAGCATATTCGCATCATTGTAACTAGAAAGATGATCACGAATACAGAAATTGTTGTTAAGACAATGATTTTGTTCATTCGATGATTTTCCTTTTCAAAATCGTGCCACAATGACGATGGCGGATAATAATTATGTGCATCATCCGAAGCCATCTTTGATGTAGCTGAGACTTGCCTTTGGAGGATTGGATTGATGTTGATGAGGCTCTTTTGACTTTGTACTAAACTCTCAAGTAGTACTACTTTGAGTATTTGACAAGAAATTCCTGTAATTTCGGTGCAATTTCGAATTCAAAACTTTTTTTGTTTGACACTTTTATATAGTTTATTATGGGTTATATCGGAGTTTATTTACGTTGACTGGATCTGGTATTCTCTATTCTGGTTGTTGATGCTTATTGGTATGATGTAATATCTGACTTGAGGACATACGTACGCTTGGCTGTAAATTGCGAGGTGCTTCATCTTAATTCAAGCTCAACAAAGGGTTGACTTTTGAAAAAAGTTGGTGTCGTTCGTATAAGACTTTTATTCTCAGACGGAATAAGTAATACACCCTCTATTCCAAAAAACTTATTATTCAGTTTGAATTTTCACAAGTTGTTTATTTTGTACTAAAAATAAAAATCAAAACTGGGTAATAATTTTGAGACGGAGGAAGTTCTACCAGAACTAAAGATTGTTACCTACAATTTCTCGTCTTGTTATGTGCCACATTTTACAACTTGTGCAAAATCAAGTGAGCACCGTGCTCGGGCTTAAGGGGTTATCAACGAGATGGGAGCATGTGCATACGATGGCGAAAGTTCAAACTAAAACCTCCTTAGAATCATCACCATCTCTACTTTAGCTTCCAACATTGCGAAACTCTGACCTAGGCACACCCGAGGTCCCCAACGAAATGGCAAAAATGCAGTTTTCCCCTTTGTTGCATTCACCACTCCTTCAGCAAACCTGTCTGATTTGAACTCTTTCTCGTCGTCTCCCCATATGGAATGATCACGATGAACTAAAATTGTTGGCATCAGCAGTTGCATTTTGGCTGGAAGATTTAAGTTTCCCAAATTGCATTCCTCGGATGTTATTCGACCATTGACAGGAACTGGTGTATATAACCTCGGAACCTCGTTCAATATCATAGTCAAATGAAAGGAACAACAAAAGATTGAATCCTGTTTAATACTCGCGAGGACTGATGCCAAACAGAATCTCTAACTTCTTGAAGGCTCAAATATAGGCCCACATGTGGTTCCACCTCAAAATCAATTGGCAATGAGAGGAATAGCACATGAGATATATATGTTGAGTTCAAGAGTCTTCATTCATCCATGTGGGACAATGGAGCATATGGTCATTTCTTTCTTTCATTCATTTAACACGACCCTCTCAAGCCCAATGGGCTTGAACGGATAATTTTATGTATTTTTATTTTTTATATTTTTTTTTCAGTTCAGAAGTCTTCAACCATCTATGTGGGACAATGGAACATGTGGTCATTTCTTTCTTTCATTCATTTAACACGCCCCTCTCAAGCCCAATGGGTTTGAACGGGTAATTTTATTTATTTTTATTTTTTATATTTTTTTCAGTCCTGCGATTGGTTATTTTTCCGAATTAACCGTCGCCTGCCGGACCAGTCAAAGTTCAAAGTCAAACCCCGGATTTCTTCTGTGGGTTGACCAAAGTTTCAAGACTCAATTTGGGTCAGTCCACCTCGCCCCACAAGTCACACAGGCCTGCAGATTAAACCCGCTCTGATACCATCTTAAAGGCCCAAATATAGGCCCACATGTGGTTCCACCTCAAAACCAATTGACAATGAGGGGAGTAGCACATGAGGTATATATGTTGAGTTCAAGAGTCTTCATCCATCTATGTAAAAACAATGGAACATGAGGTCATTTGTTTCTTTCATTCATTTAACATAACTAAGTTTATAAACTTACCAGTTCAAGGCGATTTAATCCATAAAGATCGGGTTCATTGTCGCCGAAGATTTCCAAAACCTTATCTCTAGCCTGAGCCTGCCAGTCAGGATACCTACTCAATAACACCATAGTCCAAACAAGTGGCACCGATGTTGATTCCTGTCCAACAACGTAGAACAGCTTGCACTCGTCGATGTTCATTCCATTTTTGACATTGTTTCCGTTCCTGATAATTTCTTGACAGTTGGTTTGTAATAATATTCCTAACAAGTCATCAGAACAGGGTTCCCCTGCTTCCATTGCACTTATTCTTGAATTGATATAATATGCCTGATGGAACTACCAACCTCACTAGCCAATTTTTTCATCCTTCTGTTTCTCTTGGTTGGTAAAAACCTGTTCAAAACATGATTAGAGTTAAGAAAAGATTGAAAATGAAGCTTATTGTTCTGCATAAATCTTGAAGAAACCAAAAAAGAAAAACAGTACTTCCAACCTGGTCCCTCTAAGAGCCATGGTGTAATTCTCTCTGTTGACTTTACAAAACAGAGCGTCCAGAATTCCCCAGCACCACCTTCAACCTACGGTGAGTTTCTCTACAGCAGTAACATGCGTTTGATCATGAGTAGACTCCGAGGTAATCATTGCTTAAGCCTTGTTGATGATGGTCATGTCACTGTATGCGTGATGGATCTTGGACTAAAGTTAAGTTCGAGATTACAGAGAATGGTTTCAACTTTGTTTGCCAACCAGTTGGCTACCTGAAGTGTGGATCTCTTCTGATATTTTACTATCCGAACATTATCTTCATACGTTGCAATTTAGAAACTGAGGAATGGGATTGTCTCAAGGTGTGTGGACTAAATCAATATGTGAAGCAATTACTTTTGTTCCTAGTTTTTTCATCCTCAAAGAAGCTCTACCAGGAGATAGAAAAAGAGTGCTGAACATCTCATTGAGGTAAAAATGCTTTAATTTTAATCCCCTTTTTTGTCTGGTCGGTAGGAGATGGAACCTCTTTTGATGGTAGATTATACAAAGAAAAAGGGGGTGAAGTCATATATCTTCACTTCTATACACTTTCTTTGCACTTCATAGGATTAGTTTTGTACAATTTTGATTAGCTTTAATTTTCATGAATCTAGCTACTGATCCTGTCTCTTTATTGAGGACTCATGATCTGCCAATAAGTTGAATCTTTAAGAGTCAGAATTCCTCATTCCCTGAATGAATTTACACTGACTATAATTTAACTTTCACTGTCCGAAATATTAGTCCTCTGAAGTATAACAAAGTACTACATTACAGACAAAAAAGGGCTAAAATTCCTTGATGATTATTAATTTTACCTTGCAATTTTGTTTCCAACAACCCCATAATACCAACCTTATTCACAGAAAAGCATTGGTCTACCTCTCTGTGTTTCAGAGGACTGTTTAGTCCTCTTTTGTTCCAAGAGAGTATATTATTCATAAGTACTAGGCCCTGGATCAGGGTGACTAGTCCTTTGATAACAAATACTATTAATGGATCTATTCTTAATATCTCCTCTACTATCAGGTATTTTAATACCTTTATGATTTAATATCTGAACGTTTCCTTCTTGCTTGATGGTACTGAGCAGGACTTTGGAGACTGTTGTTTGGGAGTTTCCACCACCACAGCTTGTGTTGATTCCTGGACTTCCTTCCGTTTCCCTACTGTCTTGAGAGTCCATTTCTTTTCAACCGGCTTCCTGCATTGTTTCAGATCATGACCATATCCATTACAGTTGTTGCATTTCAGCGGTTTCCACTCATATACCACTTTCTGTTCTTGCACCACTCTTGCTTCATCTTCAAACCATACCTCCTCTTTAAGCTTTTCCTTGAATTCAACTTCCACTAGAACTCTTGCATATGCTGTTCTGAGCTTATTTTCTGTCATATTGCCTTCTCTTGTTTAGTTTTAATTTTCATGAATCTAGCTACTGATCCTGTCTCTTTATTGAGGACTCATGATCTGCCAATAAGTTGAATCTTTAAGAGTCAGAATTCCTCATGCCCTGAATGAATTTACACTGACTGTAATTTAACTTTCACTGTCCGAAATATTAGTCCTCTGAACTATAACAAAGTACTACATTACAGACAAAAAAGGTCTAAAATTCCTTGATAATTATTAATTTTTTTACATTAGGCACATGTGTAGTGGCTTCTCTTTGTTCTTAAATCAGTACTCGTCGTAGATGCCAAGGAATTTGACTTGCAAACAAGCAAGAATACAATACATCTTAGAAATAATGAATTCTCCAAATTTAATAGTTTTTATGCAATTTATGGAAGAGAGGAATCTCACTGGACATGCTAACATTTATTTGACATTAGCATCAACAATGCAAACCAAACCAAAAAAAAAAATAAAAATAAAAATTGTGCGTTTCAAAGAGGAAACCAAATATCACCTAAAGTAATTGATAACGGTCAAATTGTTATATAAAAGCAATGCAATTTACTCTCTAATTAGTTGAAAATGTGGGGGGTGCTTCTGCGAATTTACGCATATTACTTAGTTAGTTTTATGTTTTTGTATAGGTATGGACCTGAGTGAACAAGTGATGAAAAAAAGGGACTTGTGCATCAATAATTGGGCGGCTGATTTCAGAATTAGAAGCATGGGTTGAGTTGGTCAAAAGTAACTCCAAAGCACAAGGCACATTGGGAGCCAACAAAAGTGTCCCACTATAGAATTTCAAGTACATGCTTGACTCCTTGAATGAAGAACTAGCCACCCATATTGAGCAATGCTGCTGCTGATACCATCACTGGAAGAATAGGTAAAAGACCAGTCAATTTGGAGTTCAAGACACAAAGCATTGGGGCAATTAAAAAATACACAAGCATGGAAGGGCTCTCAAGGGAGACGAACCGGCAACAAAGTTCTATAAAAGGGGAGCTGCATTTTCAGCAAAGACATCTATCTTTGCTTCTCTCAGTTGACTACAACACACAAAGAAACTCTAGAAGGAAGGCAAGATCAAGAAAGAACAACAGCAACTCAGCAAGAGGCAGAGTTGAAGAACAATCATCCCAGTCACTGGTTCACTCCCCTGAGTGAACTCTGTCACTCCCAGGAGTGACCTTGAATTGCATAAGTTGTCTTCTTCTTTAACTGTTAGATTGTATTTCATTTCATTGATGTATATTTCTATGATGTCTTTTGAAGTAGTAGCAGTAGCATCAACCAGTATGAGTAGCTAAATAGCTTCCAGGGGTTAATCTCCTCAACCTATGTTGTAGTTGTTGTAATGCACTGGTTTTGTTCTATGTTTTGAAGTTGGAAGTGTTTCTACATTCAGTTACTTGATCACCAA